TGCATATATATATGCATATATATATACACACATACACACACATACACACACACACACACACGTATGCTTAAATTCTATATTACATCATGCAATGAAAGTGCAATGTTAATTCCCTATCACATATTAATAGGCATTGAGTTTGTGAGCTTAAAAAAATATATATTGAGTACATTAAAAAAATTCCTCTAATTTCTTTGTCTCAGATCCTGTTTTAATAGTTTTCACCAGTTTTTTTTGTCCATGTAGCTAAGTGCTAGATACATTTGCATTACCAATATGTTATTCATATTATTTCCTATTTTGGCATATACCATAATGCATGACCAACTCAATGTCCTGTTTGAAAGTCATTTTGCTTTTGCTATTGTCACCTACTTGATAGTCTCATTACTTTCACTATCCTTGAGCACCTTAATCAAAGGAAGACAACTTAGAAAATACAAAACCAGTGTGAGAACTAAAAGCACCCCAATCTTAATGAGATTTTACAGATGATTCTATACTGAAATCAACCAGAATTTCTTTAATTTCCATAACCAATCTGTGGAAAGGCCATGGAAATTTTATAAAGTTAGATTTCTAACAAAGTCTATGAATTTATGTCAACTCATATCAAAATAGTCATTAAATGGCCATATACATATTTTGTCTCAATACTAAGTAACTGGAAGTTATATTTTTCATTTTTTAGTCTTAAGACTTAATTTAAGACCTTTTAAAACCCTAGCTGTAAATGTTTTGGAATTTTTAGAATGGAGTTGGTTAAAGATTCATGGAAAAATACTTAAAAACATTATTTTTAAATACAGGAATATTTTTATTCTCTAGCTAATAATTTAGCATAATGAATAATGAATTATATTGAAGATGTAAAACACTAACGTGATAACTGTTGTAAATACGTTGATTCATGTTTTAATTCATCTTGCCTGCGTTTCATAAAGGTCATGGCTTGTTTTAAAAGGAGTGCATGCATGGATGATTCTATTTCTTGGATGTTGATAATCTGCAATACATATATAAGTAACATTTTGTGGATCATCAATAATAAATAATAAAATGTAATTATTTATGTATTAGCATGTATATATGCTCAATTCTCATACAAACATTTGCATACTATCACCTCTCAGTTAAAAAAAAATGCTGTGAGGAACAGACCTAGCTGCCAATACTGTCAATATTAACAAAACCAGAAAATCACCTTACTGTACTAGCACAGCTATAAATATCATAAATAATGAAACCAAATGGAATGAAGTCAGGAACATAGATAAGAGTGGATAGATAAGAATTTTATTTGTTTGAGATAGAAGAGGAGAAAATGATGGGTTGTTGGGTGTAGCCATTTTTACAGGCTGAGGGAACAGTCTGTGTGTGTGTGGTATGGGGGGGACTTGAGGAAACTGGTAAAATTATAAAAAGTGGAGAATGGAAGAGACCTTTTTTACAGGTAAAAAAGCTGTAAGGCAGAAATGAGTGATTAATTGAAACTGGCATTCTTATATTTCTGAGGCAATTTCCTCTACTCCAATGATGTTTCACAGATGCTGCTATGGACACATTAATGTGCAAACCAGTAAGACTTTAACAGTGTGATTTTTTAAGGATGAATGACGAAAACTACATTGTAATAAATACTTCAGGAAGTAATTACCAAGTGATATTAAAAGGTGGTCAACTTAAAATAATAGTAAATAAAAAAATGCAGAAAGTAGAGTGTACTGTATTTCTAAAATGGTTATAAAAAAGGAACTCAAGATCTTAATATATGGACTTAGAATGTATATAAAAAAACAGAAACTATAAAGGAAAAAAATGATTCACGAATCTGATTAACACAGTATTTCAAAAAAGTGGATGCTGGAAAACCATTGCGAAGACAAAACAAACTAGAAAGTTTATCTACATCAAGTAGGATAAAGCATTAAAAATTTAAAGCAATAAAAAGCTGGGGGAAAAAAACCAAGAAAAAAAGGGAAAAAATCCCCAATTGAACCAAAAAGATAATCAGGCAAAGGGGAAAAAT